AAATATTTGTTTTTTATTTATTTGTTTATTTTTTAGTTTATTATAAGCTTGCAAGGTCGCTTAAGTTTAAATGCCACAAAAATATATATAGTCATAATTAAGTTCTTTTCCTCAATTTTAAGCATTTCACTAATTGCCATAATAAATACAAATTAATCCAAAATTAGTCGAAGTTTCTTCTAATTAAAATAATACAACAAAAACAGTAAAGACGAAAATGTGGAATAAACAAGATATAAGTAAGATTCGACAAGTCATCATGCAGCCAGAAGAATCTTTTAGAATTTTATTCTTAAAAAATTACACTGGAAACTTAAGCAATTCTAGATGTGAGTCGTATTGCTGATTTATACTTAATTTCGCTCTAAATGTATCTAATATGCTTCATAAAACAACAAAAAGCATATAATATATTTTTGCACTTTATTTAATATTTAAAATAATTATTTAATTTGTTAAAAAAAAAACAATATATTTTAAATTTGTTTAAATATTTCTAATAATTTTTTTAATTTTTTAACATAATGAATAATCTAAAATAGTTAAAAAAATTGTTTGATATATTTTTAACATTTTTTAAATATATTTAATTTATATGTATTTCTTAACTTTTTACTAGCTCCATTAAAATATTAAATATATTATTTATAATTTATTAAATTGATTTACGCAAATTATAAAAAGAATATTTAGCCAGTTTGTTGACAGCGCCATACTTATAAAAGATAATCATCTTTTAATGCGTTGTTAAAAATCAGTTAAGATCTAATGTTGGGTCGTAGAGTAAATTGCAATCTTTAATACATCCAAAAAGCCGCCTTTGTGGCAGCAGAATGATTTACTGCTCCACTTGCTATAACGAGCTTTCTTTTATGACACTAAGAGCTTAAGGTTAAGTAATCTGAAGTGAGCCAGAGTCCACATACTCAATATATTATCTGCCCAATATAATAATATCATATAATTAACAAGTGAATCTTATGTTAGCTTGAAAGCTTTCACTCGCTTTAAAGTTAATTGAATTACATTTTATTTAAGTAATTCTCCTTTTTGTGTCACTCAAGTCGCATTCTGTTTACTTTAAGGCAATTAACATCGCCGCAATTGATTAAAGCGGAAACATTTTGGAAATCAACAAGGCAAGAAATTGACATAAGATTCTCGAATCTCGATTCTCTATTCAAGCACGTGCTCAAAGTCAACCGCTTTTTGTGTAGCTCTGCGCTATGTGTGTCTCTTGCCTGTTGCCCGTGAGATAAACAAAAGACTGGGCCAAGACAACAACAACAACAACAACAACAACAACAATGGGAAGTAAGAGACGAGCGTTGATTCCATCTGCTTGTCGTTCGCTTTATGCTGCTCTTTATATTTGTTTCGGTGTGCTTTGCTGTTGCTTCGCGCACGGCAATTAAATTGGTTTTGCATTGAGTTCCGTTTTGTGGCTTTTGCTTGTAACTTGTGGACCATTAAGTTGGCACTCGAGATAAAATAAACTATTAACAAAATGTGACTCACATGGCACTCGGATCCGACCAGCTGAAATGGCGTTTTATCCTTTCGAAGTCTATAGCTGGCAGCTGCTGTTGCTGTTGATGTTGCTGCTGCTGCTGTTGGCTCAAGGTTGCCTCTTTCTTGGGCGCCATTATGGATGCTACGCTGGCTCTCTGACGCTACGTTATGTTCGAAGGAGCCGGCTCTTTGTCTTTGCTGCTAGAAATAGTTGCACAACGGGTTTTTTGGACTCTGCTTTGCTCGTGTTTACTTCAGTCCATACACAGTCACACAGACGCACACACACACACACTGCCGTTTCGCTTTAATGATGAGATTCGCGCGCGTTTGCACTGTGCAGATAGAAACAAAAGACTTAGGCAACGAACTTCATGTTCGAAACGAATTTGTAACTTGAAAAAGGCGTTGCGCTCTTGTCGTTGTTGTTGTTGTTGTTGTTGCTGCTGTTGCTTAGCTACTTCTGACAGCTTTAACAGCTGTCTTTGGCACGCGGCGCTGACGACAAGGTGTACGCAGACGATTACGACGCTGCTCAACAGCGTGAAGGCAACGACAGCTCAACGGCGACAGGCAAATCACGTAATTGAGTCTATAACTTCACGCACATACTACCCAAGTGCTTGCTATTAATATTTCTACTTGTTTTCACGCTGTTTAGTTACTAAGTGATTTGCTGGCGCAGCTGCTGCCAAACGCGCCGAAGTTCAAAACGAAACTGAAAGCAGCCACAGCGCGCACTACACGCAAGAGCTGCCGAAACGGCATAGGGAGCGAAGCGAGAGAGACAGAGAGCAAGAGCAGAGCGAGCACACATAGCGCTGCTGAGCGTAGCCAGCTGTTATAATATGTAATGCAACTGCTGCTGCCACAGCAGCTAAGTAGTTGGTTAAAGCTCATGCATTGCAGCTGGCTGCAAAGGCAACGAACTTGTCTTGGGAAAATGTATCAGAAAATCAGTTTCAGTTTCAGCTTGGCACATGACACCAAATTCTCAGCTTAAAACATAATTCCAAAACAAAAGACTTAGGCAACAAACTTGGCCAATTTATCAACATTGCTTAATTAATTATAATTCCATCCAAATTGACTGCATTTAGTAAACGAATTCCAGTAGCCGTTAACAGATGGGTCGCACGCCCACTGTGCCGCCATTTAATAATGGGCATTTTATGCCGCTTCATTAAGAGCACAGCTAAGCGCCGTTATATAGCTGTAGGCAATACGCTTAGGGCAGACACACCAAATGTGCACGAATAACTATGGACTTAGTGTCAAATTAGTAACAGCAGCAGCAGCAACAGAGGCAATCAAAGCAGCTCATGATGAACTTTGATGAACCTCCTAAGACGCTTATCAAACGTTGGCACAAAGATGACTTGTCTTATGGTCGTCTCAGGTGAAATTGAACCGCAATGAACTTTATATATTATACGTTAATTCATTTAACAACAATTCAGCAAGCTGGTGAAAACTTTTCACTGAAAAAACCATATAGATATATAGATAAATATATATATACTCAATTCACACATTTCCGTCAACGCGCCGGGCCGCGGGCGAAATTAGAAAATCGCATGCTGCGCATGAGGTGCTCTGAGTGTGCATTTCATATATAATTTATTGATGGGATTGATTGGAGCGGATGGCGTGTCAAATCTGAAGTCGAAGTACCCGCCGTTACGTCACACTGCAGTTATGCTAATTGGGAGCAGCGCATCGAGAAGTCGAGTGAAAGCGCAGACGCAGCGCTTTGTTTGAATATTAATTATCCGTTTGCAATGGCTTTTAATTGGTATGCAAATGGCTAAATCAAAACAAAACAAAGCTGAAAAGGAAAACCAAACCAAAACAAAGCAAAAACAAAGGCAAGGCAAGTGGAAGAGCAGCAGCTCACTCGCCGCTGTTTGGGTCCACTCTATTCGCGTTGGGCCTGGTCTAGAAGGCAGACACTCTCGCGGTTACCTCATCGGAATTGCAACAATTATGGCCAAAGCTGGCGTCGCAGCGGTGCAAATGAAAATCAATGAGGCGTCTTACAAAACGTGGCCGAAACGACCGAAGACCGAGTGCTCGGCAGCAGCACAAGCCACAGCTAAAAGTGGCACATAAAAAGAAAGTTCGGAGCAGCACACAAAATGTATTTGAATTCGTATTTCTATTTGTTTTTGTTTTTGTTTCTGTTTTTGTTTTTCATTTATTCGTTGTTCAATTTTTATTGCCTGACGTTTGCTACGCTGCGTCTGCTCTCGAGAGCGTTTGATATAAGCTCACAGAAACGTTTTGCCGGCTGGCCAAACGTGGCGACGGTTTGTGGCCGCTGTCATTGTCAGAGCCCGACCCAAAGCACGTTCACATTCACTAAGGAAACGGTAGCAAATCAAAAAAAAAGACAAGAAATCAAGTAAAGCGGCCCATGTGCAAAATTTAAATTCAGCCGCCGCATTTGATAATTGCCTCGGCGAATCGAAACTCGTTATTTGCTCTGCGTTTGGTTTTTAGTTGTTTTTAGTAGTTTTTTTCGCGCGAAATAGCCAAACACAGCCCAAATTGCAATATTTGCCAGCGGCAACAAAGAATTTGTGTCAGCCGCTTGCACAATCAACCGAACACATACACAAACATATACATATATATATCTATCTATCTATATAAACAGAGTCGCGCCTTGCCGCACGCGGCTTATGCGCAACGAGGGCCAACCGAAAATTGTTTGACCAGAAGAAGTAAAACAGCAATTCGCCAAGCAGTTACATAATGCGACTGGGAGTTGGCTGATTCAACTGGGCTTGGTTAAGCGCACTTGACGGAAGTCGGGAAAGCAAATACAGACGTATCTTGTATCTGTCTATATGCATTCCCATAAAATTGTGATCGGTGTGGTTGGGAAAATGATCGTTGAAATCGTTTTGTCGGCGAGGAAATCTCTTTGGTGCGACAATGTTGATGCTATGTGGAGTAAGCCAATAAGTAAATTGGCCAACAGCGAACCACAAATAATCGTACCAACAACAGCATTAACAACTGGCAGTGAACAACAATTGGCGACGACAAATTGTCATAAGCCACAAGCACAACAACTGCCAACAACCAGTGTGCAGTCGAGCAAAAAAGTTAATATCCGGTTTTGGCCATGAAATTATAAATGCAGGATATCAAACTGAATATGATTATATACATGAGTAGCTGCTAATATTTTGCTATCTCTAAGCACTAATTCGGTGCCAACAATTGACGCATTGGTTAGCAGACTCTTAAAACAATTGAGTTTAAATGTTTCAATTAACTTCAATAAGCTTTGAATTAATTTAAGCTTTCGCGCGCTTATTTGTCTACTATAGTCGATCTACTTGCACATTTATTGCTATCCCACTTGCACAAAGCAGAGTTGCACAGCTAGCAGCGACATCTATGCGGCTAACGCACAGAGTCGTAAATTCAAGTGGCGCCACCTACACAGCTATTCGTTCAGCTATCGATAACAAAGTTTAGAATCATGGCTATTGGAATAGTATTTTCTTTAATACTAAATAGTAAGAGTCGCTGAACTGACAGCTGTTGAACTCAAAGCAACTCTAGCAAAACGCCGCATTTTTACGTAAACTTATTCTAGCTTATAAATTCAACAAGTTATTAATGCAAATAGTGTGAGAAAAACGTAGAAACAAACACGATTAAGAACGCACCTAAGAGACAAATCCAATTCAAAATGATCTACACGACGTCGCTGCTGTCGCGAGGCTCCATCTTCGGTTCGCTAATAAGCAAAGTCAGGCAAGTTGTAGCCAAAAATGCAGACACTGCAAATACAAATCCAATCAACAATCACCATTTCACACCTACGCCAAAACCAAACAGACCATTGGCCGCTGCCAGCCTGAGCAACAGTTCGGCGCTGCACTCCAAGACACTGGAAGAGCAAATCGGGCTGCCTCCCAGGCCAAAGAAGCCGCTAACTCCATATTTTCGCTTCATGCGCGAAATGCGACCCAAGATGCTAGCCAGCAATCCAAGTATAACGACTATTGAGGTTGTACGACAGCTGTCGAAGAACTGGGTGAATGCAGATCCTAAGATGAAGGAGCGCTTGCAATCAGAGTACAAAAGGGATCAGGAACTGTATGTAGAGCAACGTACCAAATACGAAGCAACGCTAACCGACGCACAGCGCGCCGAAATCAAGCAGATGAAACAAGACATCAGCGATGCCAAGGAACGCAAACAGCTGCGTAAGCGTGTCAAGGAGCTGGGCCGACCCAAGAAACCAGCCTCGGCATTCCTTCGCTTCATTGCCATCGAGCGTACAAATACGCCGCAAACAGAGCAGCAAACGTACCGCGAATGGCATCAGAAGGCAACAGCCAAATGGACGCGCCTCTCCGATGAGGAGAAGGCCGTCTACCTGAGCGAATCGCGCAAAGAGCTCGATCAGTACAAGTATGTATCAATCTAGCCTCAAAGCTCTCATTACCTTCTTTAATCATTTAATTCGCTTTGCAGAAAAAGTATTTCGATTTGGGAGGAGAAAATGATTCGTCTGGGCCACATCGATGTGGTGCGTCATGGCAATCTAATCGATCCGCCAGAGCCCAAGCACCGCAAGCCTCAAGCAGCCAAAGAGAAGTAGTCTGACTTGACCGTCTATCATCCGCCATCACAATATCATTTGGGTTTTTTCTTATGAAAATTTGTTAAATGCTTCACATGCCTTCATAACTATTAAATAAGTCATTTGCTTTATCCCTATTACATGCTGTAAGATCTGTTCTGAATAATCATGTCGAATTATGTAAATAGTTTCAGCATCATGTATTAAATACTTAAAAAGACAATGGAGTTTGCTTTAAATGGAAACTGCATATATAGAATTATACTTTGTCATATTTTATAGCAAGCAAATAATATGTAGAAAATAGAGATATAGGGACAAAATACTTTTTAAAAGAATTTACAGGGTATTAGCAATTGCTTTTCCAGATATTTCAACTTATACTTGAATTTCTCAAGATTAGATTATATGGCCTTAAACTAATTATCTAAGAGAAAAGCTTTAATAGCTTTATATTTATATAAAAAAAAAAAAAAAATATATATATATATATATATATATATATATATATATATATAATATTTTAAAATGCTGCTCTAGCTCTAAATTTAACATAGGACTTCAAAATACCATTGAATTTTGACCACGACTTGCACACATGCATACTTAGATATATTTCCTAACCAAAATCAAAAATATTTTATCCAATATTTATTAAAATTTTAAACTGTAAGCAAAGTTTTTCTAGTTTGGCTATAGAACTTTCTACTTCTTAGTTCCAACTAATTTTAAAAATATTAGTTGCCTAAACGTGGCATAAAACCTATCTAGTTGCATTTGCCAAGTATAGCAAACACGTGTTCGAGTCTTACGGGGTTAACATCACACTTGATTTTTAGTTGATTTAACACGGTAATCGACACAATTTTAATCTATCTGCGTAGATCACGGTAAACAAATATGCAGTAAATTTGTCACCTCAAATGCGCAGAATAAAGAGACCAAAGAAAATAATTATAGACTATAACTATATAATGGTACAGTCAATCTGTCTATACGTAGGTATGTACATAAGCGTACAAGTCGATGTAGTTTGGCTTGCTGCGCAGACACAACCGTTCGCTGCTTGAGTCAGCTTCGAAGTGAACGAGCTGGCCAGAATTGGGATAGGTTTGGCTGCAGACTGAAGACAGCCATTTTCTGACACTGGAAAGCCGCTGACTGGAATGGTCAGCAGCTAGCACCTCGCACCTCGCATGCTCGCTCACACGCTCTCAGTGCATGTGCGTGTATGTGTGCATAAGCAGCATTGATAACGGCTTAAGTTTATGGCTGATCAATGAGCATAAAATTTGTTACGCTCAGCATTTTGTTACAGTTGCTTTTGCTGCACTCGAAAAAATGATTGCTTAGTACCAGAAATTAGACTGAAATATACCCATATTTTATACCAATCACATATATAAGGAACATTAATTAATTTATTGATAATTATAATAATTATTGATAATATATGATAATTTATTTAATTATTTATGTTATATATAGTTGATACGCATTTCATAGAAGAAAGAGTACAGTTTGCTAGCAAATTGGGTACATTGTACCTAACATGAAACTGTAAACATTTTTGGTACATTTCGTGCAGCAAGTGCCTGTCTCTCTCGCTCTCGCTTGTTGTCTGTTATTCGACTTCCAGTCAGTGCTGCTTGGCTGACTGCGCTCTCATTTTATGAGCAGTTGGCCAACAGGTAGTCGCAAATACATGGCTTGAACAGTGTTCAGTTTAACCCTCGTCTACCTGTAGTAGAACTTTAACCAAACACGCTCTGAACTCTATGCTAATTATAACAGTCAAAATTTACAGCGCGTGTTAATTGTGCGCTGCAACTAGTTTCCAGCCGCATGGTCAAAGTGAGGAGAAAAAAGCTTCATAGCTAAAAACTTCAATTTGGCCGCCACATTCTTTAGACAGAATTCAACTTACCTCCGATTTTTGGCCAAATAACACGTTCTGTGACACAACTTAGAGCCGCGCCGCAAGCGCAATTGCGCAAGCCATATTGGCAAAACCTTGAGCTACTCCAAAAGCTACCAAAAAAATAAAGATTGCCGAACAGATCTAACTGTGCGCTAGGCGGCGCGCCTGGCCAACAAATTGACAATCTGGTAGCAGCACTTCAGAGCTGCTGATGCCTTGGCTGGCCAAGGCATGCACTCAACATATGCATGCATGTATATGCATGTGTATGTGTGTATGTATGTATATGTATGTATAACACTCACACAGATACGACTGCTTTCAATGTTCTGTGCTGCGGCCCAGCCAGGTGGAACAAGCATTTGTTTTGCTACTCTAGCAGTAGCTGCTTATTAGCCAGCTTTGCGTTTTGCGTTTGTCTGTTGTGGCTTATTATAATCGTTATTAGCCCATAACAGCGCCTAGTTAAGACCCTCCGCCACCCCCCGCAGACGCTCTGCCTTACAGACTCTGCTTGAACTGGAGGCCAAGCTGCTGAGTGCTTTGCGCAAGAGAAATTCATAAAAATTTAATTTTCGTTGATAAAATAAACTTTTTTTATTAACAATTTGGCTCAATGTAAAAATATACATATTTTTTATATCTCTGCTGTACGTTTTATTTGTATATTCAGCTTTATTTTTTATTATTATTTTTTTATATAAAAATTCAAGTATTTCCAATCGATAAGATCCCAATGAGAAGATGCTATATTAATACGAAATAGTAGCTAGAAAAATGATATTATACATACACAGCTATCATCTAGCGCTTAAGATCTAGGAGAATATATACATACATACAACAACAAGGAATTTTGGACAATTACAAAGGCAATAATTTAATACTCCGAACTCCGAGCTCCGAACTAAAGTGTGTGTGTGATGTGATTCTTTGTCTCTGCTTATATGTGGGTGAATAGAAATGAAAATACAATTAAAGCAAGGCCCAACTCAAAAACGAAGCGGAAAATTTTGTGAAGTTTTCTTTGGGTTTCAATCATGCTCGACACAGTCAACTATCGATGTATGTGGATGCCAAATGATGTAATTAACTAAGCGGCAGCAGCTCAACCTCGCTTGCCGCTCGACTGGGCGTGGCTGTGGCTGTCCTCCGAGGGCGGTCGCACCCAGCCGCCGTAGCGACGCTCCATTTCGCGCGCCACGGCCAAACAGAGATGGTCCTGGCCAGGATTGGCAACGACCTGTATGCCCATGGGCAAGTTGCGACGATCCAGGCCAATCATGCAGTTGGTGACGGGCAGGCCGAGCGTATTGAAGATAGCCATGTACATCGGCTCCAGCAGCTTGTGATAGATTTGATAGTGCTGGTGCGCTGTATTGGGGAATGTGGGATAGAGGAAGACGCCGTCTGTGCCGAGCAGCTCCTTGAATTCAGTCTTGAGCGCTTCGATGATGCTGGCCAGATGCTTGTGCCGCGAATTGGGTATGATCTTCATGAAATTCTGCAGATGACCGAAGATCACCGAGGGCAGTATGCTGTCCGAGCAGCCAAAGAAATACTTGACCGTCTCCTTGCACACGGTCTTGGGCTGTTCCCCCTCCTCGGTCTTGTGGTAGATGGTCTCAATGTTCTTCATGGTCAACATGGCCGACAGCGAGATGTCCAGAGACCACTTCATCTTGCGAATATTGACACGCTTCGCATTGAAGTCGCTGGCCACCCGATTGATGGCCGCATGCAGGTCCCGGCTGAGCGGACGCATCATGCCCGAGGGACCGTCGTTGTCCATGAAGAAGAAGCGGATGCCATTCGCACTGATCTCTTTGTCGAGCGTTAGCTTCGGCCCGGTCGGATCGCTCATGCACTTGAGCAGCAGCGGCAAGTCCTTGGCATAACGTGTCATGGGCGCAATGGTAAAGAAGTCGCCCCACTTGGGAAAATCGCTGGTCGGATGATGGCCGCGAAAAGAGACCGCATACGGCGTGGGCTTGTGGCCCCAAATGCCGCTGAACATGGCGGGCAAACGCGACGAGCCGCCAATGTCCGAGGTGAGGCCCAGCAGGGAGGCGCCACTCGCTAGCAGCGCCGCTTCGCCGCCCGAGGAGCCGCCCGGTGTGCGCTTCAGATCGTAGGGATTCTTCGTCTGGCCCGTGACATTGTTGTACGTCTCCCAGAGCAGGCACAGCTCCGGCGTGTTGGACACCAGCAAGATGATGCCGCCGCAACGTTTGATCTGCTCCACAACGGGCGCATCCGACTTGGCAATTTGCGGGGTCTTGAAGACACGGCCCGCCTGGTTGGTCAAGCCCTTGACGGCGATGCTCTCCTTGACCGTGACCGGGATGCCCAGCAGCGGAGTATGCTCCTCCATGGACTCGACGCTGTTAATGCCCATGGCAATCACATTGTCTATCTCGCGCGCCTCCTCCAGCGCCTCCTCAAACCGATCCTGGACAATCGCATTGATCAGCGGATTTACCTGTGAATCGCAGAGCAGACACACACGCACACCTGTTAGGCCTTGTTCGAGGCAATCAATCAATTGTGTAAATCTATTACCTGTCGACATCGTTCGATATACGCCTCAACGACTTCTTCGCTTTTAATCTGCAAAGAGTTGATAAATGAAGAAAAAGACTCTGATCATTTCCGCATTGGCTAGACTCCAACATTTAACTCAACATTTACTTTTTGTGTGCTGGTTTGATCAATGTTTTATTGTTCCATTCTTGTCGCTTAATTGTTTGTGAGAACCCAGCGACGACACAAAAGCAATTTACGTTAAATTAAAATCAATAAAAATTCACATTCATGCAGCACCCGCCAATTGTCTGCCTGCCTGAGAGCACCAAGAATGCGAATGCCTCAGCGTACGACACGGCGTATGAGTAATGTGCGGATTTTCAATTGCCTATTGCGTAGGGCCGACTGCTGGGGCAGGGGTGCACAGGCACAGGCGTGCGGCCAGGCTGCATTCCAGTGAATATATAATACATACACTTACAAATTGATTAACTAATGTAGCTTAAGTATCGCCAGCAGGCATCAGGGGAAGGCAGAAACTTGAAAGTTCATTATCTCTTGCTTGATGTGTGTCTGACCTAAGGCTAATCGCAGAACTAATATAAAACGGAAGCAAATGTCGTCTACAGCAGCCTAATCTAAGCTGGCATTTTCACAGCTGTCTGTAATTCATTTCAATGTCCACATTAATTTCGCAA